CTAAAATGTGTATAGGTACATATCTATACACATTTTAGATTTCTTGATTGGGTGAGTAATGTGATGTGACTGCATAGTCACAGAATCAAATTATATTTAATCAAATTCATCTACGCTTTACGTGTCAGCACAACAATGCAATGCGAGCGAACGTCATAGTAATTCCGAAAATCCGACCAGACAAGAACGATGTCGATGTTTGTAAATGTAGTGAACGATGTATCGACGATATATCGCTCATCAAAACTAATGTGAACCCCTCCCAACAAGACCGATAAATTGGACCACATGCTCTTCCAGGATCTCTGTGACGTACCGGTGAGCAGTCAGCGACCCTTGCCCGCGAGCACTTCCAGTCCGGGAGGGAGACGCTTACAAGCCTGGTTTTGTCGTCGGCAGACATGCAGTTCCAAAACGTACAGGAACCGCCCCTGTATTGCACCGTCTCCTAGATGCAGGCTTGGGCGAAACTGTCCCCCTGTTTTCTGCAAACTCTTCTGCGTCTATCATTGCAGAAAAGGCACCCTCCCATCTAGTCTGAGAAGAGAACAGCTCTCCTTTGGTCAAGGGTCGAGCAAACTGCAAGCGGGTTCTCCGATGCTCTGCGGTAAATTTTAGACCCGTAGCAGCTTTATAAGCATCTATCTTCTTCTCCCTCAGTCTTCGCCTAACCGTAGAAATGCTCACGGTTGTTCTGCGAGCTGCCTGACGCTGCTGTTGCAATTCAACAGCATTAAAGGACTGATTTCTTAGAGATGTTGAAACGATGAATCGGTCGTCTCTCTCCGAGGTGCAGCGATGTCTACCAGACCCCATGTCTTCGGACGTGGCCACCGGTCTCCAGGAACCGCTGGTATACTCTTCGAATCGAAAAACGGATCAAGTTCAGTTGCCGAGCGACATCACACTGCCGCATCCCTGATTGCATTAGTGCAATCACTTAAGCGGCTTCATCAGCTGTGGTGTTTTTTTTTGTGAAAGATCTTCTCGTGTGTCCTCTTCAACGGTTGGATAGCGAATAAACCCCATTGAACCCCATTGTATTAACTTTTTTATACCCACCTAAAGGTAGCGCAACTAGTGGCCCTTTTGAGGAGCAAAATTTTAAATTCACTTGTGTAGTATAAGCTTTTTCAATGAAATGGGTTCTTTTAGGTTTATTTAATGGATATTCAATTGATACCAATATCGGTGGGGGTACATGCGCGTGTTAAGGGTTAATAACGATTCAAAGTTATTTTCGCGGAGGTGCGATTTTTTTGACGTAGAGTGTATAAGAATAACTCGTTATTATTGAGCTTATAAGACTAACTCGTTCTTACTCCATCTATTTACTTTGTGCTTGTTCACTGATTTTGTATTTGATTTTTTTTTATGATTGGCATATCGTCATTGCCAAACCAATATCTGCTATGGGCACTTTTTGGAGATTTCGACATCTCATTATGACTAGAATACTCTAGTATACTAACCGATTTTCGAATGCAGACTGCTATGCGAATCTTTAGCATTATAACGGTGAACAGAGGTTGCTGAAAAATATTCAATGTACCAGAATATTATTAGTCAAAAATATTTTTAGGTTTAATTTTTTGCACGTAGCAGATGTTCGTTTGACAACGACCTAATCCATCATTCATACCATTTAGTGCAGGAAGTTATACAGTGATCATATTTATGTCGCAAGCTTAATAATGAAATATGACATGCAGGCAGATTTAAGAGAGGTAGGGAAGGGTATTCCTCACGAACTGGAGCACCCTTCTAGGGCAGTAATCTTTAGCTTACAGAAGACCACAGTATAATAACACTACCTTTTGGTGGTATTGTGATTCTGCTGGTGAATAAGGGTTCCAGGGCTCCTCAAGGGCTTGGGTTCAGGCCTGTCAAGGTAGGATTGGCTGGAGCGGCACATCTGCCGCTTCATCTATCACTTAAGTGTAAGTAATACACCAGGTGGGGTGGGATAATTTGTTGCGCCTTCTTAAAAAACAAATATTTATTGGCTCGCAATTTAATATTTTATATTCAAGCTTATACCAATCAGTGAATCCAATATTATCTGTGATTAATTTAAACGTTTAAACGACATTTTCATGTGGTACAAATGGATAATCAACTCTACCTATATTTTTAATTTAAATGGACTGTTATCCATTGGTGTCACATTATTTTTTATCTTTTATCATCATTCTTAATGTTATGCGCATAAATGAATGATAATACTTGGCGTACACGAATGGACAGAGCTGTATGGATAAAAAATGTTTTTTTTAAATTCTATGCCCTAAAATTACCTTTTGATAAACTTTATGATAAATTGCGCGTCACTAATGATAATGATTACCTAGCTCTTTTAAAATTAGAACTAATTTATATAAAACTTTATGGGCAAAACATTAAAACGGTCAACTTGGCGTGCCACTACTTGCCCTATAAGTTTATAGTGTTATCGCAACCGTGGCGGCTGCCGCCACACAAGAGTGCGGTTCTGTGAGTTTTGAAATAAAACAGCTCTGCGACCACCCACGGTGGGTGGGGGTAAAATCCACTCCGTGATATCTTATGTCACGCTTACTTTGGGCGCGTTTTTAAAGCACGTTAGTGCGTCAAAATGGATATCGAAAAATATCAACCTAAGTTATGGACATAATGTATGTGGAACCAGGTGATTCAAGTTACCGGGATATTCAGCGCAAGACATGGCAAAAATAATGTCTTCTTAAATATTTTCTGCGTCAGCGAAGACGCCGCCTCAATAGACATGGGCGTTTTTGGTTTTGAACGCAAACGGATATATATCGGATTTCAGATTTCAAAATCGATTTCAAAATCCGTTTTTAGATATCCGATTTCAGATGTGCCTAACTTAGCCAATTCACTAGTTTGTGTTAAGATTTGGTTTTATTAGCTAACGACAATAACAAACAATTAATTAACGATATTTTGAAAACCAACACAAAACTCGTCTAATCAATTAAAAAGTCAACAGTTAAAAAAAAACAAATTAAAAACGTCTTTTTCTCGGTAGAATATTTATTGATAAGAATATAATTAAATTGCACAATAGGAACAAGGAATTGAATGAAAATAAGAATAAGAATTTACTTGCACGCGTGGGTCACACATTACCTGCGCGTGGTGCACCAGCCTGGTGTGGTCGTATAGCGCGGCGTGGTAGGTGAAGCATGCCCGGCAGGTGGGGCACGCGTGGGTCACACATTACCTGCGCGTGGTGCACCAGCCTGGTGTGGTTGTATAGCGCGGCGTGGTAGGTGAAGCATGCCCCGCAGGTGGGGCACGCGTGGGTCACACATTACCTGCGCGTGGTGCACCAGCCTGGTGTGGTTGTATAGCGCGGCGTGGTAGGTGAAGCATGCCCCGCAGGTGGGGCACGCGTGGGTCACACATTACCTGCGCGTGGTGCACCAGCCTGGTGTGGTCGTATAGCGCGGCGTGGTAGGTGAAGCATGCCCCGCAGGTGGGGCACGTGTGGGTCACACATTACCTGCGCGTGGTGCACCAGCCTGGTGTGGTTGTATAGCGCGGCGTGTTAGGTGAAGCATGCCCCGCAGGTGGGGCACGCGTGGGTCACACATTACCTGCGCGTGGTGCACCAGCCTGGTGTGGTCGTATAGCGCGGCGTGGTAGGTGAAGCATGCCCCGCAGGTGGGGCACGCGTGGGTCACACATTACCTGCGAGTGGTGCACCAGCCTGGTGTGGTTGTATAGCGCGGCGTGGTAGGTGAAGCATGCCCCGCAGGTGGGGCACGCGTGGGTCACACATTACCTGCGCGTGGTGCACCAGCCTGGTGTGGTTGTATAGCGCGGCGTGGTAGGTGAAGCATGCCCCGCAGGTGGGGCACGCGTGGGTCACACATTACCTGCGCGTGGTGCACCAGCCTGGTGTGGTTTTTAACTATAGAAATATATTTTGTTTACTAAAACATTGTACATGTAAACTTAAACTTAACACGAGAGACTCATCGTAACGTTACCGAGCGTTACACTTTTTCATAAGTGACTCCCAGCCGCAACCTAATTTAAGACGTTGTCACGTCAAAATTTCAATAATATGTGGGTACACAATTTACTAAGTTGACTTATTATTATTATCTTTATGAACTCTGAACTCCAATCCAGTCTTAACAAACACGTAATTAATAATTATCTAAACCCGGCAAACAAAAATCACTGACTGACATGCGTGCACTTGCATATCAAGGTCAAATTTGCATCTAAACAAAAGCACCAAGTTTTTGTAGTAAACAAACGCACGCTAAGATATAAGCCAAAATACATCACCTCACAGCCTAGTCACGCAAATATAGTCTTTAAGTACTGTGTCGTAAGACTATATTGATCGCACATATTCAATGGCAATAGATTTCCGTAAACAAGAAATCCAAATCGGACTTCCGAAATTCGCGGCATCTTTTTTACTCCGCTTTGTTACGATTGGTAAGAAAGAGACAAAGCGAATTTTACTGACGTTCGAAATTGTAAACAAATTCGCTTTCTCTCTTTCTAACCAATCGCTACAAAGCGGAGAAAAAAAGATAGCACGAATTTCGAATCCGATTTACATTTGGATACGTGATCGCTAGCGTTTTGGTTCGGTTAGATTTCTGAAATCGGATTTTCTAGTTGAGAAATCGTTCGGTATCGATTTGTGTTTGAAATCGGATTTTGGATTCGTTTTGATATATCGGACGCATGCCTACGCCTCAATCTCCGAGTTATATGATAATTATTTTGAAGATACAGATTATTCATCGCGCTCTAACCAAAGATTACTTCACGAACGCAGAATCAATACCTATTTGACGATGAAAAACGTATTCACTGTGCGCATTTAATTCTTTACTTTTACGTACGATACAAATATGTGTACAAAGTGAGCGCGACCTTAGTCTTAGTTCGTTCTTATGAAAGTTTTCTAAATTGTATACACATTTTGTGTTAATTTTGTATGTACTTAAACAATTAACTTATTTCAGAACTTCCTACGGCCGTTCCGCGAACACCATATCGACCCAACGTCAATTACCCGCCACGATTTTATAGAAACGAATGGTGACAATTTTGCTATTACCATTCCAGTACTGGCACGAATAGTTTGGCAATTACTGTCATATGAAGACGAAGTCATTGCTAAAGAGTTCAACTGGATAGCCTACTGGTACCTATGTTGCATATTCGTTGCAATGACGAATCAGGTAAAGTTATCATACTTACCCAATTTGTAACTGTAGCTTAGTTCTCTGTAGTATAGTTGTCTGTTGAGCACAAAATTTATTGAAGTTTGTCTTCATTTATATTCATTCATATGAAACAAAAAAAAATATGAAACACGAAATCAGCCCGTGTGTTTCCACTCTTTTGGTGTATTACTCTGCGCGGTGTTTGGCCAACAGATACCTAGCTTTTCACTAAAGGCGGTGCGGTATATATAAAAAAAATATTAATAACATTACCTTACCGATTAATGTCTGATGAATGAATGGTTTAACTTGTTGATGAGTAGACATACCTGCGGGTCTTGATGGCGAACGGCAGTGTCCGGAAAAACCAATACTGGTTTATGAGACACTGTTATACACTTAAGATTATAATGTATTTCTTATAATATAATAAATAAATAAAAAAAAATATATAAAGACAAACTTCAATATTTTTTCCTATCGAAAATAATAGTAAATACTTACATCAACTAAAAGCTTGCATAAACTTGGAAGAGCAAATGAATCCCTCACTTATAAGTGAGGATAGCTATAGCTAAGCCATTGCTATAGTTGTATAGGTATTAATTGATGGATTTTTTTTTGTTCGACCACGTTCTGTCCGCCCCATTGTAGTAGTGCTGGAAAAATATGATCAGAGCCCGCTGACTTGAAGGGGCAAAGCAGTTGATAGCCCACTTTATTCCCTCAGGCGTAATTACCTTATCCGCTAGGCTCCAACATTCTTCCGTTATACTTGGAGGTGCGTCTTGCCATGTCACCTGTTCTATTAGTTGGCAATCCGGAAAGAGGGTTTGTAGAAGGATAGCGTCGCAGTCGTAACGTTTGTGGGACAAAGTGCTGTCTGGTCGACGCAGGATTCCTAGCACACCAGGGCCTTGCTTGGCCAACAGTTTCCTTACCCAGTTTGCCTGTTTAGTGGAGCTTATCTCCCCGGTGAAGTTTGTCCAGGAGGCTGTTCTCCAGTATCTGATTCGTTTTTAGGGTTCCGTACCTCAATAGGAAAAACGGAACCCTTATAGGATCACTTTGTTGTCCGTCTGTCCGTCCGTCCGTCTGTCAAGACCCTTTTTCTCAGGAACGCGTGGAGGTATGAAGCTGAAATTTATATCAATTACTCAGGTCTACTGTCCCTTGAAGCTGTGAAAAAATCAAACTTCTAAGCCAACGCAATCAAAAGATACAGCCGTTTATGCCGCAAATTTTCGACACTTGCAAGGGAATCAAAACCTACAGGGTGCTTCCCGTAAACTCAGAATCTTGAAATTTGGTACCAAGCAACGTCTTATAGCATAGATAAAGGAAAAATTACGAAAACCATAAATTTTTAGTTACATCACATAATATATGTTTTTTTAATAATTTTAACCTTACTACCCATTTCCTCATAAACGCGTAGAGGTATTAAATTGAAATTCATACCAAATACTCAGGTCTATAATACCTTTAAGCTGTAACAAAATCAAACTTCTATGTCAACGCAATCAAAAGAAACAGCAATTTAAGCTGCATATTTTGAAACTCGCAAGTACTCGCAAGGGAATCAAAACCTAAAGGGTACTTCCAGTCGACCTAGAATCTTGAAATTTGGCATGAAGCAACGTTTTATAGCACACATAAAGGAAAAATTCCGAAAACCTTAAATTTTTAGTTACATTACAAAATATATATTTTTTAATAAATATAAACTTATTACTTTTTTCCTCATGAACGCGTAGAGCTATCAAGTTGAAATTCATATCAAATACTTAGATCTAATTGCCTTTAACCCGTGAAAAAAAAAAATTCTAAGTCAACGCAAAAACGCAAAACGCAAAAGTACAACCATTGATACCGCATATTTTGAAACTCGCAACTACACGCAAGGGAATTAAAACCTAAAGACCACTTCCCGTTGACATAGAATCTCGAAATTTGGTAAGAAGCAATAGCTTACAGCACAGGTAACAGAAAAATTCCGAAAAGCTTAAAATTTTAAGTAGTTATATCACCAAAAAAATTGTGATTGTAAACATAATTGTAGTTACAGCAATAACCGCGAGTTATTATACTATGTATGGGGAGGGCAACATTTTTCAAACGGCAAAGACGACCTCACTCATCGTCATTCAATCCCGATGTTTTGGTGAATGTAGCTGTATAATCTAAATGCGTCCTAACTGCTTAAAGTGTTAATGTTGCAATAGAATGTATAAATACAACAATATTCGGCAGCAACCTCAATATGTACACTTCATCTTCTCGTCTGATTGTTGTGTGGAATGGAATTTCCACATATTTTTCATCCATAAACATGTTTCCGTTAATAAACAGTAGCACTACACGAAGTTGTACAACTATTGATAACGTTTTTTCGAACTTCAATGTTCAATGTGGTACTATTCATAACTTTTTCAGTCACCATTTACAGGTCTGGTTCAAATTTAATACTTAATTAATATTTTTGAACCAGATTTCTAAATAGTGACTAAAAAACTTAGTAAATAAATAACTTTAATAAAAGAACTTTCGCAAGTCTGCTGCAAGGCTAGTATAAGTGTTTCAGTTATATTATAGATAAATGATATGTGTTAATATAAAATAAAGGATTACTTAAACGATAAAGAGATCTTTGTCTTAAATTTATGCTCCTCCATCTTTCCCCATTGTAATGTTATGAATTTCATTTTGCAATAAAAATACCATAGTTATGACTGGATTGTCGTAATGAACGAACTTTGTAAACCTTGCAGGTTTGTACGGAACCCTCGGTGCGCGAGTCCGACTCGCACTTGGCCGGTTTTTATTTGTACTTAGCTTTAATAGCTTTGTAGTTGTCCCAGTCTGTGTCGTTGCATGTATTCATTGCCCTGTTAGCGCACTTCCTCACCTTTCCTCTCAATCTCTCAAGCTCCGGCCCCCTCCAGTAGTGTTTTTCGGAGACTCGCGAGCTTGGGAGTCTAAGGGGGCAGACCTCTCATAGCAACGTATTGTGCTGTCTGTCAAGTGTTTTACCTGTTGTTCTAACTGCTCCGTGGTTTCAATTCTGCCCATACCGGAGTTGTTTCTTAGATAGTCCGCCAGTAGTTATGCGTAACGATGTTTGTCGGTTTTCCTTGGATACCTTAGAGGGTTAGGAGATAAAGTTTCTACCTGTAGTGTGAAGCGGTTCCAGCGGTGATATGAGCATGATGCCTCATCGGAGACATGCCAGCCAGATATGGCGGTTGCCGTTTTTGGTGTCGCGAGGGTCAGATCTATGATGGTCTTGTACCATCTCCATACGAAAGTAGGCTCATTGCCTGTTTTGATTAACTAGGTTAGTAGTCAGGAGGAATAGGCTAGTTGACTCATGTCGAATTGTATTAAATAAATGTTTATTTCTTAAAGTATTTGGTCTAAGGAACCTAAATTTATCGATTTCACTTCATAAAAGCAGAAGATTGCTGTAGAAATTTAATTTAAAAAAATATTTTTTAGTCTATACTTTTTAAACACTAAAAACGCTGTTCGCCACATCCGCCATGATTTTGACGTCTCTTGTGGTAAACAAACAACTGAATGTCATTCACGTGTTACTGTAGGAGGATTCTTTCGTCTGACTAATTTATCTTAAAACACTTTTAACTTTACTTTTTTTTTTGAAAGAAAAAAACAGTAAACTTAGTTTTTTTTTTGACAAAACTAATTATGGATGCCGGCTTTGTGAAAGCAGAAAGCACAAATCTGCCAAGAATTGACGCATTGATGGTTGGTGAATTTGTTGCACTAAACCCCGATTTCTGCTCTGCGGAGCAGAGAAACGACAAGGCATCTATGTAAGTATAGTGCATTTAGTATTACAATGTAGTAATAAACATAAAACTGATACAACATATGAATAAGTGTAATAAAGTTGCGTAGGTTAATTTCTTTCGGCACTTTAATCCAGAACTTTCCTGGAGTGAAGACTCCAGGATGTGTTTTTATATTCTCGTACAATACAATAATGATAATTACCTTATTTTTCGTGGTATTTATTAGAAATCATGTTTTTTTTTATTATAAACTCAGTTAAAAGTAATTTTCTACGTGTTTACGAGTTTTTGTTTACCACAATTCACGTCATAGCATAGATAATCTATAGACTAAAATGGCCGACAGCGTTTTTGTATGTCCATGAAAAGTCTATTTTAAAATTAAAGATTTGTAGCTTTCTAGGTTTTAAAAAAATACAATACATTTTTTTTCGGTCTAATAGAACATTTGTTAACCATTTAAAACCTTTTTCCAAAAAGGGTCAACTAGCCTATTCAAGTAATTGGTTACCTCTGTTGTTGCTTTGTTCCATTACCCATACAGGTTGATAGGCATTGGAGTCTGTCGCGATGGTCAGTTCTAAGTTTTTCTATGTGCAGAAGCGGACCAAAGATTAAACGTCTTCTGGTGGGGCCCGCTCACCATCAGGCATATACGCAGATGCTATGATCACGTCGCAACTGTTATTATCTTAAATAGGGGTCAGTTTTACGTTTAGATATTTAGCGTATAGATCTCTGGAACTGAAATTCATTAAACGCTGTGTTCTGATTGTCTTTGGAAGTGTATATGCAGGTATTACGTCGCTAGTAGTGCCTTGAACGAGCTTACCTCCTAAACTGGAGAGTCCCACACCTTGCCTCTTCTAATCCCGGGCTCCTGCATTAGTGCCACTGCTGTGTTGTTGGTCTCCAACCACCGCCGAAGTTGAGCCGTTGCGGTTACGCTGTGGTGGAGATTTATTTGCAGTACGTTGACTTTTGGCGTTGGCTTTACTGCAGTGGGACGCCATCGTCCTGGCATTTGACGTCCTCAAGCCCCAGCCCATCGAGCTCTTAGAAACATTCCTCACTAAGCGGCGAAGTCGCCACCTGTGAGGATCCCGGAACTTCGACAGCCGGTGGCGAGGCATGAGACGACAGTGTCCGTGGGGCCAGAGCTTTATGTTGATGGTGTAGGGCGCGCTGGTGTATCGGTCG